CGCCGCGACACGCTACCCAAAAGATCCCGACCGCGGACCGGCGCACAACGTCGAGTTGCGCGACTGCGAGGGCGACGGTACAGAAACAACAACTTATCACATCCCTACACGTCTACATCACCTTCGTGCCGTAGCGTGATTCTGCTTCTCATCCCAGGGGCGGTGCACTGAACTTCGCGGGGGAAGAACGATATTAAATAATTGTTTTCGCTGTCGGGGGCGCCTGTCCCAGGGCGGCTGGAAAGTTTATACCCTTACCGTGCGCCCCTGGTGGCGGTCAAGTTTTTTTATACCGTTCTTCGCCCGCTAACTCCCCCCCACCCCAGGTTTCGGACATGGCCCTGGCTGGCCCGGGCTGGCGCTGTGCAGGGCCAACGCGTCCCCGAACGCCAGCAGTGCCGAGTGCACACGGTCCCCTCTGGGCCACGCGTTCTGTCCGGCACCCGCTCGGCAGTGAGGGGCCGCCTCCTTGCGTGCTCGGTTTGGTGGGACCTTCCCGGGGCCCACCAAACTTCAGGCCTCCCAGATGGAGTCGGAGCAGATGGGGTCGCAGGATCGCAGCGCAGCGCCGAGATGTGGAGCCCGATTTTCTCTACGCCGACGTCGCCGACGCATCGCCGACGTCGCCGATGCTTCGGCGATACGGCGCGATCCCCCGACCCCATCTGCTCAGAGCCCATTTGGGAGGCATCAACTAACAGATCTGTTCGACCATGATGATGGATGCACTGTTCTTGCTGAAGCGGTGATGCTTCGTGACACGGGTATGTTTTGGCCCCCCTGGGACTCTGCCAACCCAGGAGTGGCCTCGCGTGCTAATTTGGGAGGCCTCACCTAACGGATCTGTTCGATTCTACTTCGATTCAAATTTGGCTGAAGCTCGACTCAACTCGACGGACGTTCGGCGCAGCATCGGTCTCACGAGTAGAGCGAGTGGCTGCAGGAAAGTCGGCGCCCGGGGCCGCGTGCAGAAGAGTAGCTTTAAGTCGGGCCTGTTTCTCTACAGGAGGAATATTCAAACATAGTCAAACATACTACGCTGCTACAAAGTTCGTCATGCTTTATGGGAGCGTCAAATTGATGCAGGTTTCGTCCGTTACTTCCGCGCGAGCGGGCGGGCCAAGGCTAACCCCTGTCCCGACCGCGCCAAGCTGCCCCCCTTTCTTCCCTTAGAGTTTTAGCGGGCTGGGTGAAGAGCGGTCGGATCAAAGATCCGGGATTTCTAAATCTGGGATTTCTTCCAGTTGTATTATAAGGTGTATATATGTATGTACGTATGTATATATATATATATGTGTGTATATATATATATATATAGATTTAACGGGATAGTTTAACGGGATATTTTAAACTCCCGACGTAAGAACACGGTTTTAGAAATCCCATTGGGTGGGATTTTGCCCTGCCAATGCAAGAATATCAAACTCCAATTCGTAACGAAATTCTTGTAACGCTGATGCAGTATGGGGACGATTTGTTTTGACTTTCTTGGAGCAGTCGGTGACAGCATCTGCCTGCAGGGCGACGCGCCTGACCTAAGAGTAGCTCCGAGGGCCGCGATGCCCCCCCCATTGGATCACGAGGGTGCAAATCAATCAATAAATTTAGTCAATCGATCAACGAACGACTGGCGACGGGGTCTCTGTCTGCGCGGCTCGGTGCGATCGCGCGAGCACCAGCTGGCCAGCGCCTGCCGCGGCCGGCCGAGTCTGGGCTCGAGGCCCCCTGCTGGAGCCTCGAGGAGCCCCGAGGAGCCCCGAGCCTCGCCCGTGCCTCGGGCAGCCTCGAGGGCCCCCAGCCTCGCTCTTGCCTGGAGCCTCGAGCGCCCTCGAGCGCCTCGAGGTCCCTGGAGCCTCGCTCGTGCCTCGAGCCTCGAGGGGCCTCGAGCCTCGAGCGCCCCCGCGGCCGCGCAGGGCGCGCCCCGGCCGGCGCCCCTCGTGGGGGAGGGCGGGGTGCTTGTCGGCGATGCATCGGTCCTGAGATCCTCAGGCGATCGCAAACGTGGATCGAGGGGGCGTGGATTAGCGACGGGCCCTGCCTCCGTGGGAAATCGCGGATCTCCGCCGCCGAGCGAGGCGGCACCGGCCGCAGTTGGGAGAGGGCACCTCCCCCGATCCATGGATTTGTCGGGGGAGCGTGAGACCCGGGTTTGCCAGGACTCGGGTTCGCCATTTTTTTTTTGACGACCGCGACTCGGATTTTGACGAGTAGGAGTTTCGTGGGATGTCTGCAGCGGGAGGCCTCGTCAAAATGCAGGCTCGGCCTCGTCATTTTTTTGACGACCTCGTCGGGGATTTCCGAGTCCCCCGTACCCGGGTCTTACGTCTCCCCGGATTTGGCGACCGCGCGCCAACTCCGTGGATCGCGAATCCATGCTTGCGCGCCCCCGACCTGCGATCCCGGCGGCTCCATTTTCTCCGAGCCGGGCGTTTTCGCTGAACCTCGGGCCCCGGGGCCCTCGCGGCTCGAGGCGGCTCGAGAAATGGCGCAGACAGGTGGGGCCCAGTCGTGATCTTTTTGTTGCGATGTTTTTCCTCCTTTTCGCGACGTCGGAGCTCAGGGAAGAGGACGTCGGCGCCCAGGGGGAGCAGCCAACCCCCGGGGGCAAGGCGCTCCGAGAGGATGGGAGCGTCTGGGTGGTTCGGCCGTGTTCGGCCTCCAGGGGCCCACGCTGGGACTCGGGGCCGTCCAGAAACGATCCAGGAGGAGGAGGAGGAGGAGGAGGAGGAGGAGGAGGAGGAGGAGGAGGAGGAGGAGGAGGAGGAGGAAGGAGGAGGGAGAAACGTTCGAGACCTCTGGGGCCCACGCATCGAACAAAACTGGAGCGGCCAGGTGTTTGGAAATGAGGTCCGCGCGGATCTCTTGGATCGGCGCTGCATCCCCCCTTCCTGGCGCGCGGAGGCGCCGCCAGGGGCCGAAGCGCCGCTCTGAGGAGTCCGCGCGGACCCTCCAAGTTTTTTTGATTGTGGCATCACTTGTTCCCCTCGGCGCTGCATTGGCGACGTGGGCGTAGCGAAAATCGGGCCCCCGCTGGAGGAGGAGGAGGAGTAATAATGAGAGAGGAGGAGGAGGAGGAGGAGGAGGAGGAGGAGAGGAGGAGGAGGAGGGAGGAGGAGGAGGAGGAGGAGGAGGAGGGGAGGACCAGTGTAAACCGAAGAGTTATCAGCGATGTTGGAATAACCTCTCCTTCGAAGTTCCCTCTTCAGAGGCCCCTACAACCGTTCATTTCCATTGAGGGAACTGCCTCGTTGGAAGACAGCCGTTTGAAGACCCTGAAGCATGCCAAAAAGGTGTTCTCGGGATTCGACGCCACGGATCAACCTGACTGTTGCGTTTTGACGATCCTGAATCGTGCTAGAACGCCATTCTTGGGACTTCAACATTTGAGTCAACATAACTGGTGCGCCTACATATTCCTGAATCATTCCAAAACATCATTCCCAATGCGTTGATCATGGGAATCCGTGAAAACCTTGTAAACTTTCTAAACGAATGTGTGCGGCGCTCAGGCGAGAGCCACATTTTGGAAATGAACCGCCCTCAATCCGTGAAACTCTTGCTATTTTTCCCAACCATCCTGTGGTGTTGGGTCCTTGTTTCGAAGGGACAGCGCCCTCCCGCTGCCCCCTCCCTGCTCCTCGCATCATCATCATCATCATCATCATCATCATCATCATCATCATCATCATCATCATCATCATCATCATCATCATCATCATCATCATCATCATCACCATCACCATCACCATCACCATCATCATCATCATCACCGATCTCGGCACCGCTCCATTTTGGTACACCCCATTTTGGCACCTCTCACGAGGATCGTGGCCCCATAGGAGCTCCACCGAAGACGCCAGTAGCAAAGTTTGCATGGCGGCCTCGGGCCATTTCGGCACACCCCTCACGAGGATCGTGGCCCCACAGGGAGCTCCACAGGAGCTCCACCGAAGGCGCCAGTGGCAGAGTTCGCATGGCGGCCTCGGGCCATTTCGGCACACCCCTCACAAGGATCGTGGCCCCATATGAGCTCTACCGAAGGCGCCAGTGGCAACGTTCGCATGGCGGCCTCGGGCCATGTCGGCACACCCCTCACGAGGATCGTGGCCCTATAGGAGCTCCACCGAAGGCGCCAGTAGCAAAGTTCGCATGGCGGCCTCGGGCCATTTCGGCACACCCCTCACGAGGATCGTGGCCCCACAGGGAGCTCCACCGAAGGCGCCAGTGGCAGGGTTCGCATGGCGGCCTCGGGCCATTTCGGCACACCCCTCACGAGGATGGTGGCCCCATAGGAAGCTCCACCAAAGGCGCCAGTGGCGGGGTTCGCATGGCGGCCTCGGGCCATTTCGGCACACTCCTCACGAGGATCGTGGCCCCATAGGGAGCTCCACCGGAGGTCCCAGTGGCAGGGTTCGCATGGCGGCCTGGGGCCATTTCGGCACACCCTTCACGAGGATCATGGCCCACCGAAGGTGCCTTCGGCAGGGTTCGCATGGCGGCCTCGGGCCGTTTCGGCAGACCCCTCAAGAGGATCGTGGCCTCACAGGAGTTCCACCGAAGGCGCCAGTGGCAGGGTTCGCATGGCGGCCCCGGGCCATTGCGGCACACCCCTCACGAGGATCGTGGCCCCATAGTTGTGCTGCTTCAACAACCGCGCCTGGGCGTCGTACTCCGCCTTGTCGACGTGCAACGCCACCTCCTCTCTCATGGCTCTCAAAGCCCTCTCCTGCTTCTGCTCCTCGGTCAGAGGGACGCCGTCCTTGTCGTTGTCGGCGCCCGCGAAGACGGCCACGAACGTGTTCCTGAGCATGTAGGGCTCCGGCGGGAAGCCGTGGCCACATAGGGGGCGCGGGCGAAGATGGTATTCGCAATTGCGGTATTCACAACTGCATATGGTTGGGTCCTTCGCCAGGCTATTTTAAAACGAATGTGCGCGGCGCTAAGGCGAGAGTCACATTTTGAAAAAGAGTCGCCCTCAATCCGTGAAGCTCTTGCAATTTTTTGAAAAAGGATGTGGGCGGCGCTAAGGCGAGAGCCACATTTTGAAATCCACCTGCTCTCCATGTGCGAAACTGTTGCCACTGTTTTAAGATTTAGGGTCATATATATTGAAGAAATCTCAGGCGAAACGCCCGGCCCGCCCGAAAAACTGGCTTCTGGGGGCGACGCGGAGAAGTTACCGGGATAAGTTATTCAGAAGGCAAAGGAATGGAGAGGGAGGAGGTTGGAGGAAGTAGGGAGGGAGGAGGAGTTAGGGGGACTGAGGGAGGGAGGGAGGGGGAGGAGGAGGAGGAGAAGGATGATTATGATGATGATGATGATGATGATGATGATGAGGAGGAGGAGGAGAAGGAGGAGGAGGAGGGGGAGGGGGATGAGGAGGAGGGGCAGGAAGAGGAGGAGGAGGAAGAGCAGGAGGATGATGATGAGGAGGAGGGTGAGGGGGAGGAGGAGGAATCATCGGAATCATCATCATTATGATCATCATCATCATCATCATACGACGAGTATAATTATTACTACTACTACTACGACTAATAGTAGTAGTAATAGTAGTAGTAGTAGTAAGTAGTAGTAGTAGTATTAGTAGTATAGTAGTAGTAAGTAGATTAGTAGTAGTATCGTAGCCGTACTAGTGGTAGTGGTTAGTGGTAAGTGGTAGTAGTAGTAGTAGTAAGTAGTAGTAAGTAGTAGTAGTAGTAGTAGTCGTAGGTAGTAGTAGGTAGTAGTAGTAGTAGTAGTAGTAGTAGTAGTAGTAGTAGTAGTAGTAGTAGTAGTAGTAGTAGTAATCGTAGTAGTAGTAGTAGTAGTAGTAGTAGTAGTAGTAGTAGTCGTAGTAGTGGTAGTAGTAGTAGCAGTAGTAGTAGCGTAGCCGTAGTAGTGGTAGTGGTAGTGGTAGTGGTAGTGGTAGTGGTAGTGGTAGTGGTAGTGGTAGTAGTAGTAGTAGTAGTATTAGTCGTAGTAGTAGTAGTAGTAGTAGTAGTAGTAGTAGTAGTCGTAGTAGTGGTAGTAGTAGTAGTAGTACTACTACTACGACTACTACCACTACTACTACTACTCCTACTACTACTACTCTTACTACTGACCAGTATTACCAGTACTACGACGACGACTACTACTACTACTACTACTACTATCTCTTCTAGTAGTAGGACTACTAGTAGTAGTACTACTTCTACTACTACCAGGACGACGACTACTACTACTACTACGACTACTACTACTACTACTGCTATTACTACTGCTACTACTACTACTACTACTACTACTACTACAGCTACTACTACTACTACTATTACTACCACTACTACCACTACGACTACGACTACGACTACTACTACTACTACTACTACTACTACTACTGCTACTACTACTACTACGGGTACTACTACCAGGACTACTACTAATATTACTACTACCACTACTACTACTACTACTTAACACTACTACTATACTATACTTACTACTACGACACTATACCTAATGACTACTAATACTACTGCTACACGACTATTGTGATATTACTACCACTATACTACCACTACTACTACTACTAATACTACTACTACTACTACTCTACGACATACCAGTACTTACTTCGACTAGTCGTAGTAGTAGTAGTAGTAGTAGTAGTAGTAGTTGTAGTAGTAGTAGTAGTAGTAGTAGTAGTAGTACTACTACTAGTACTACTACGACTACTACTACTATTACTAGTAGTAGTAGTAGGAGTACTAGTAGTAGTAGTAGTAGTAGTAGTAGTAGTAGTAGTAGTAGTACTACTACTACTACTGCTACTACAGCTACGACTACTATTATTACGACGACTACTATTACAATTCCTACTACCACTACTACTATCACTACTCTCATGTTTTGTAGTACTACTCTTACTGCTTCTAAGATACATTCTAACAGCAACGCTGCTACGTACACACAATACTGTGTTTCATGATAGTACTAAGCGTAGCAACCATACTGCTACGATTATTTCTGATATCAGTAATACTAACCCCAACACTCTTATACATATAAAGAATCACCGCAGGGCGAATCACATAAACACTAATAATAGGAAAACGTGACATAGTATTCAGACGCATCGTGCCATTATTTTGGTTATTCGTCTTAGTCTTAGATGATTGTATTATTATTACTACTCGTAATTATCATAAGCATAAGACATCAGACAATACTGGTAATACCAAGAAGAATAAGAGTAATAAGAGGAGGAGGGGGGAGGAGGAGAAATTCCTCTGGCAGCCCTGGGCCCCCGCATCCGCCGCGCCTTCCTCGGTCCGGTCGGGCGGCGACGCCCCCGCCCGCGGCGCGGCCCGGCCAGGAGATCGCGAAGGCGAAGGAGGAGGACAAGGATAGGCGACGCGCAGACCTTCTTCCCCCCTTCCTCCTACTCTTCCCCCTTCGCCTCCTACTCCTTCTCCTCCTCCTTCCTCCTCCTCCTCCTCCTCCTCCTCCTCCTCCTCCTCCTCCCTTCTCCTACCTTCTCCTCCCTTCTCTTCCTTTCCTCCCTTGCCCTTCCGTCCTCCGTCTCCGCCCCCCCTTCTCCTCCCTCTCGTCCTCCTCCTCCTGCTCCCTCCTCCTCATCGTCCTCCTCGTCCTCCCTCTCGCTCCTCCTCCTCCTCCTCCTCCTCCTCCTCCTCCTCCCTCTCTCCTCCTCCTCCTCTTCCTCCTCCTCCTCCTGCTCCTCCCTCTTTCCTCCCCCTCCTCCACCTCCTCCTTCCTCCCTCCTCCCTCCTCCCTCTTCCTCCCTCCTCCTCCCCTTTCGTCCGTTCCTCCCTTTCACTTCCGCCCTCCTCCTCCGCCCCCTCCTCCTCCTTCTCCTCCTCCTCCTCCTCCTCCGCCTCCTCCTCCCTCCTCCTTCCTCCCTCTTCCCTCCTCCCTCTTCCCTCCTCCCTCCTCCTCCTCCTTGGGCTGGAGCGGTATGTGCTGCCCGTCTTTGGTTGCCTTTTCATCGAGGAGCTTTCGCGGACTGCCTGCCTTGACCTGGCCTGGCCCGACCTGACCTGACCTATCTGGACCTGGTCTGATCTCCGCCTCTTCTTTCTCCTCCTCCTCCTCCTCCTTCTCCCCCTTCTCCTCCTCCTCCTCTTCCTTCTCCTCCTTTTCCCGCCCTCCCATCCCCTTTTCCCTCCGCTCTCCACCTTCTTCTCCCCCTTCCCCCTTTTTCCTCTTCCCTTCACGCGCGTGATGAGAACGGCCATGGCGGTCACTGGCAATCAACTCATCATGGGCCAAATGCCGAACGCGCGAGCGCGTCAACCTGCCCCATCTGCCCCGCGCAATGCCCTTCTGGAAATTCAAGTAACGTTACTTCCACTCTGTAGCAGGAAGCCTTTGTCGGCACTCGTTGCGCCGCCTGCGTCGTCGTATCGAAAGGCTTCGGTGGACAAGCACACTTTGGCGCTTACACGCTTTACGCTTTAGGCTTCCATTTCGATCCGATTGATCTGATTCGTGTGATACCTGGCTGGCCCAGGCCGCTTCGACTCTGGTATTCCGACGCCCAGATGCGGCCCGATGCGTGCGTGGCGCTGCCGTGCCTCACATATATATACACATATATACACACAATCATATATATATATATATATATATATATGTTTATGAGTACATCTATAGATATATGATGCACGGCTCCAGAGGTCCCAGCCCCCAGCCCTTTCCCCAGGGGTGAACTCCCCCCACCAGATCGTGTGACCCGGGGCCTGATCACGGACCCCAGGGGCCGAAATCGAGGAACAAAATTTCGGCAACACCCAAACATCCGTTTTATATGTGTGCGTCGCCCCCCCGGGGGACTCCCGGGGGCGACGCGCGCGCTGAGAAATCTTACGGTCTATGCTCGGTGGCCGGCGCTTTCGGGCCCTACCGCACGGGTAGCGATATACCATAATCAGCCACGCTCAGAGGGGGGTATGTGGGGGAGGGGGGAAGGCTTCTCCTCAGAAGCACCCCTGTCGCTTACAAGGCGCGGGCCTTCTCCATAGACGTGGGGCTGGCGCCTTCTCCGAAACAGCCTCCTTCCAAGAGGCCTCCCCCCCTCCCCCGAGCCCCTTGTGCGCGCCGCCAATCTAAGATGCTTGTGCTAAATGTTCGGCTCGGACGCGCGCCTCTCCAGGGCGGGCGCATGGGCCTTGGGCGGGCGCGCTGTGCGGATGATGTGACTGGTCGATTGGGCCGTGGGGCTCCCGCCCACAACGCCTTGGTCTCTCTTCCTGGCCTGCGTCCTCCTCCGCTTTGCTCCTCCCTCCTGCTGCGCTCGTCCTTGACGGCGCGCTTCGAGAGGAGCCGTGGGCATCGGGCCGATCGGCGCTGTCGCGAGGAGGGGGCAGTCTGTGGTGGCAGTGCGAGTTCTGCCCCTGTTCCAGCTGAAACGTGATACCAAGTGATGGGGTACTGTGCTCCATTCGAAAAAATCGGACGTCCTTTGCGCCCCATCGATCCCGGCGATTCGGATGCAACTCCTGGGAGGTCAAATTCTGATTTTGCCCTGGTCCGATATCCGGCTTAATCCGGCTTAATCCCGCTTAATCCCGCTCAATCCCGCTTAATCCGAGGCCCACTCCGGCGTAACAGCTCCCGGACGGGGCTTCATCCTCCTCAGTCTTTCCGACGAGAACCTCCCAGCAGTTGCCTCCTCACGGCGAGGAGGAGGAGAAGGGGCCGGACGGCCACCCCCTGGGCAAGCTCTACGTGCAGCGCGCCCAGACCCGGGCGGAGCGCCAGGCCGCCGCGGGCTGGGGCCGGGGGCGGGCGGACGAGAGGCCGTCGGGCGGCCCTGTCGCCTTTTTTCGGGGGCCCAGAGGTTGGCACCAACGCCAAGATCGGCGGTATGCCTCCACCGAGGGAAGAAGATCCCAATTTCGGTGATGGTGGTCATATTCTGGCTTCCAAGGTGACCGAAGTATTACCACCAACACCGGAATCTAGGATCATCTTCCCCCTGTGGAGGCAACCCCCTGTTTTGGTGTTGGTGCCCATTTCCAGGCCTCCAGTACTCTCGGCGGCGGCAAAGAGGGGGGTGATGACCTGGGTGATGACCTAGGGGGGGGATGGATTACCATGGCGTGGGCCATGATGTCTCGCCAGATCTCATGGCGCCTCTTCTTATCTCATGGCGTTCCTGGCCCCCCCGCTGGGCCGCGCACGTGCCGCCAGCAATGATTTGCGCCCCCCCCCCCCCCCTCTTGCACGCCCCCCTCGTGGCCGCCCCCGATACTCCTCGAAGGAGAGAGCTGCCCAGAGATCCGAGGCCCCGCAACAGTTGGAGCGGCTCGTTTTGGACCATTTTCGGCTTCTGGGGTGTCTCAGCGGGCACCGGGGCCGTCAAAAAGCGACTCGGGAGGAGATGCCAGCCTGAGGGACGTGGTCCAGACCTCTGGGGGTCCACGCATCGAAAAATTGAAGCGCCGGACCTGTGCTGACATAATCACCTGGGGCTGCTAAGGGGATATGGACGTTAGAAATGGATGCAAGCTAGGTGTATTGTATAACAAGTGTCCTAAGTAGTTCGTTCAGGGTAATGAGATAAAACTGCGAAGTGGGCTCCGCCCACTTAGATCAGATCTGCACCCCCTCAAACCACTTAGTGCATTTGCAACCCACTTCTAAGCTAGATTATGCCAGATATGCCGCACCTTAGCATCCACCTCTAATCCCCCTACCCCCTTACTTGCGATTGCACTTTCTCTATGCGACTGCGTGTGCAGTTTCGGTTGCGGTTGCGTGTGCGTTGTTGTGTTGCAACTGGTCTCTTTTGCATGCTTGTCTGTTGCCTTTGCTGCTGTCCGATCTTCTGTCTGCTTCTAGTCATCGTTCGCCTGCTTATCAGCGCGGCGTCTTCCCTGCAGCCGTTCTTTCCCAGAAGGCTCCTGCCATTACCAGATCTCGTGCGCCCCAGGGGGGCCCTGGTCTCCGAGGCCCGGGAACGCGAACCGGAGGAGGACAAGCATGCAGACCGGCCCCGCTCTCTCCCCGGGGAGAGGGGGAACCAGTCTTGTCGGATTGCAAGGGCCGATGACGCACGACGCCCGCCAGCTAAAGAGAGTCATCGCAGGGAGAGGGGAGGCAGAGGAGGAGGGAGGTGGATCTGTGCAGCGGCTCGATTCCTGGCGAGGATCCCCAGGGGCTCGACGACTCCTCTCCAGTCCACCTGCGGGGATCAAGCTGGATACACCTGAGCACGTAAATCTGCGCAGCCCTATGCAATTCCTGACAGGTTGATCTAGATTTAAGTCGGGCACGTCCCTCTACAGGATGAATCTTCCAAATAGTCACAACATAGTCTGGGGACGATTTTTCGATTATTTTCGGACTAGTTTTGAAACTTCTTTGAGATGTTTTTCATATTTCGTCCAAAATCCGCCTGTAGGGGAACATGCCCGACCTAAATCCAGATCCAGAGATGTCCGGGGTCATCTGCGGAAGCTGTGGCAGCTCCCCGCGCGGGTCGAGGGGCACCAGAAGCCTTCCATCTCTCTTTTGGCTGAGGTCCGAGCAGCTGTGACCGGATGATTGCGCCGCATCGCCGACGCATCGGCGGTGCGGCTCGATGTGGAGCCCGATTTCCTTCATGCCGACGACGCCGATGCATCGCCGATGCATCACCGATGCATCACCGATACATCACCAATGCATCGCCGATGCATCGGCGATGCGGCGCGATCCTCCGACGCCACCTGCTCGGACCCCACTTGGGAGGCCTCTAGATCCGCCCCTACAGACAATCCGAACGCCTACCTCGGTCCTGGATCCTCGATCTTCGACGATTCTTTACGATCCTGGATCCTGGATGCTGGATCTTCGATCTCGGATCGACCTTGAATCTTCGATGCTCGGCGACGATCGACGGTTCTGGAGCCTCGATCCTAGACGATCATGGATCCTCGCTCCCCGGATCCTCGATCCTGGAGGCCTCTGGCCGATCCCTCCGCAAAACAAAGGGGAGGCGGCCCTCTCGGGGCCTCGGGACCCCGCGAGCAGCGCCTCCTGCCGGGAGCCGTCGAGAGCATGCCCAGCACTGCCCGACGCCCCAAACCTCGAAGGGGCCTCGAGCGCCTCGACGGCCTCGAGCGCTGCGAACACCTCGAAGACCTCGAAGACCTCGAATCCGCCTCGAGCACGGCCTCGAAGACCCCGAAGGCCTCGAGCGCTTCGAGCACCCCGAGCACCCCCCGAGCACCTCGAGCGCCTGGAGGGCACCCCGAGCACCTCGAGGCTCGAGCACCCCGATCCCCCTTGGGGGCCTCGGGGCGGCCGCCCCTCCTGGGCCGCGGGGCAGAGGCCCGCCCGGAGGGCGACACGCTGTCGCGGTGGGCGCGCCGCGCCCCTCGCGCCCGCAGGCCGAGCTGCGCGAGAAGTTCCCCTCCGAGGGCGGGAAGGGCGACGGCAAGGCGGCGGGCGCGGGCCCCGGAGGACGGCGAGGACGGCGACGACGAGGACGAGGACGAGGACGACGACGACGCCGACGACGAGGACGACGAGGACGACGAGGGCTACGAGGACGGCGAGGACGGCGAGGACGGCGACGGCGACGAGGACGACGAGGACGGCGACGAGGACGGCGACGACGAGGACGACGACGAGGACGACCACGAGGACGATCATGATGACGACGAGGACGACGACGACCACGAGACGACGCCGCCGACGATGAGGACGAGGACGACGACGACAAAGACAAGGACGAGGACGAGGACGACGACGACGACAAGGACCAGGACGAGGACGACGATGACGACGACGACGACGGCGATGGCGGCGACGGCTGCGGCGGCGGCGAGGAGGGTGACCGCGACTACGACTACGAGGGCGATGGCTGCGACTACTGCCCCGACTGCCCTGACGGGTGGCTCGGGCGGGCGGACCCTGACAGGCGGGCCCTGAAAGGCGGGACGGGCGGGTGGGCCTTGACGGGCAGGTTGCGCGGGTGCTCCTGTCGGGCGACGACGTCTGCACACTGCACACCGACACACCGACAATGATCCTGGCCAGGACGGGGCCCGGGACCAGTGCACACGGCGTCCTGGCCCAGCCAGAATGGCGTGTGCACCGATCACGGGCACAGGGTTTGCCCGACCAAAGAGCGGTATTGGTATTTTGTCGTCGTCCTGCCTGCGTCCTGCCTGTATCCTGGGGTCGGCGGCCACGGCGACGCCCCGAGGCTCTTGGCGAGCTCCGGGTGCGGTGCAAGAGGATCGGGGCGGACGGAATGCAGCAGAGGGGGAGGGGGAGGGGCAGGGGGAGGGGAGGAGGAGGAGGAGGAGGAGGAGGAGGAGGAGAGGAGGAGGAGGAGGGGAGGAGGGAGGAGGAGGAGGGGAGGAGGAGTGAGGAGGAGGAGGAGGAGGCAGGAGGAGGAGGAGGAGGAGGAGGAGGAGGAGGGGAGGAGGAGGAGGGGAGGAGAGGAGGAGGAGGAGGAGGAGGAGGGGGAGGAGGAGGAATGGGGAGGAGGATGAGGAGGCGGAGGAGGCGAGGAGGCGGAGGAGGAGGAGGAGGAGACGGAGGGAGGAGGAGGAGGGAGGAGGAGGAGGAGGAGGAGGAGGAGGAGGAGGAGAGGAGGAGGAGGAGGAGGAGGAGGAGGAGGAGGAGGAGGAGGAGGAAGAGGAGGAGGGGGGGTCCGAAAACTGCGGCATGCCGCCTGTCTCGGCTCCGCCGCCTGGCACGGTCCCTTGGCACAGCGGCGCGCGTTCCTGCGTTCCTGGTGTCAGGGAGGCGCTGGGAGAACCAGCTGCGTGCACGGTGGGTTCGCGCCGCGGACGAGCTCGACGACGGCGACGACGACGACGACGAGGACGACGAGGGCGACGACGGCGACGACCACGAAGACGACGGTAACGACGATGAGGACGACGGCGACGACGAGCACGAGGACGAGGACGAGGACGAGGACGAGGACGACGACGACGACGACGACGACGACAACGACGACTACTACGACGTGTATGGTAGGTTCGCGCCGCGTCAACGCGGCGGCGACCCGAGCGCGGGTGTTCAAGGTTGGTCGCCGCCAGGGGTCTGGAATCGGCCGACATCGGACGATCTGCGCCATCGGGAAGACGCGATCGCTCAAACTTGGTTCGATCCGTGCGGGGTTGGAACCTGATGCCTGGGTCGTGACGACGCGAGCCAGCCACGGAGGAACCGCGAACCACCTCTTCCGCTGTCCACTCCCTTCGTTCGCCCCGAGAGAAGGAGATGGAACTGGAAGGGAGGCTTCGGTAGCACCTCACGGGAGCCTTGTATGCCCTCGCAACTCTATCTCTAGAGTGCATTCGCGTGCGCTAGGGTTTAGCGTCGACTAGTCTCGGTTTGTCGTCGATTAGCGTCGGGTAGCGTCGATTCGCAAGAGCCAACAAGATGGCATGGGAGGCTCCCATGAGTTGCCACAGAGGGGAGGCATGGCAGGAGGCTGGCCGCGCAACCGGAAGAGAGGAAGAGGGAAGAGGGAGGAGGAGGAGGAGGAGGAGGAGGAGGAGGAGGAGGAGGAGGAGGAGGAGGAGGCCGCCCAGACGCTCTGGCGCAGCAGGGGAGGCCAAACACGCGTCTGAGTCCGCCTTCGTCGGGCCCACCCACGATGGCCTCCAGACGGCGTAAGAGGCCCCCTAGACGCCCCAATGTGGCTCCAAGAGGACCTCCAGCAGGCCCAAATCATTGATTTCCCTGACAGTTTTCCAATGGCTTTAGCGTTCTGGCCTTTTCGGGCTTCCGACGCTCAAAGACGGCCCCATAGGCCCCCAAGGTCGCCCCAAGACGGCCCAATATACCTCCAAGAGCCCTGCAAGACGGCCCAGGCCCCAAGATGGTCCAAGAGGCCCCCCGAGACGTCCGCCCGTTGAAAGGTCAGCATTGTCGGGCCTGTCCCCACAGCCAGTGAGCCAGGGCTCCTTCGCGCCGCCAGCCTGGCCTCCCGAGGTTTGGGGGCGCATGCCGCGAGGCCCGACGGGGACGGCACCCATCCCCACCCGCGGTGGGGCAGGTCGGACATGCCAGCGGGGCCAAGGCTCTCCCGGTGGGGGTGGGGATATGACTCGCGATGCTGAGACGGAGAGGGGGTCCTGGCAGATGGAGGCCTAGCGAAGTTTTTAGGTTTGCTTTCCGCCCCCCTGGGCCCCCATGGCCCCTGCCAGGGTCCGTACCGGCAAGGGTTCCGAGGCGGACCCCGCTGTGGCGACGAGAATCCTCCAGGAGGCCCAAAAAGGATTAAAACTGCCAGGGATGGCTCCCTGCGTGCAGCAGAGCAGAGTGCCGAAGCCGAACGCTGCTCTGAAGCAGCCGGGGGGACCGTCGAACGGAGGGGCTCTATGTTTACACTACGTCGTTCGGAGCTCGGCGAAGGAATTCGGTGTGCAGTTGCCCCGGCGTCTCTCAGGTTGGGCAGCTGGAGCGTCTACGCCTTGAGCTCAGTGGCCGACCAAGCGACGTGGTGGCACGTGCATAGGGCCCCTCCCAGTCGAGCGGGTGACACTTGGACGGAGGAGCAATGGGCGCTCCAGGAGGGCGAGAGCGCTCGACAGCAGCAGTCTGGAGGTGGGCCGCGTGGCGCGAGGGTGGCTCGCGCGGGTGCCCACCCGAAGCTCCCGGAAACGGAAGGCGACCGGTCGGCTGATCCCATGACTGCCGCGGCTCCCCTGACGTGCTCACGTTGTGACGAAATCGCGACGGAGGGTTTTGCCAATCTTCTGCCAAAGGGTCCAGGCCTCTGGGGAGCCACGCCGTGAAAAAACCACAACGGAGGATGTCTGGGTCTTACAACGGCAGTGTGGAATCGGGCGACGGGTACACATGCACTGATCCTGGCGAGGCCCATCGTAGGCCCAGGATCGGTGTGCGTGCTACCTGGCCAAGCCAGGAGGGCGGATGCACCGATCCTGTGCCCAGGACGGGTTTGGCCAGGGCCAGTGCATCGGCATAGTTTCTTTTCTTCCACCGGGAACAGAATGCGCGAGGGTGGCGTGCAAACCCATTGCGACGGATCTTTGCCCAGCGGCCGTGGGACTGGTCGGCCGTGCCGCTGAGTCGTATCTATCTTGTTGCGTCTCTGACCGTGCTCGTCTCCCGTCTAAGGTGTGAACCTGTACATCAAGAACCTGGATGAGAACACCGACGATGCCAGCCAGTGACGATGATGATGCTGATGCTGATGCTGCTGCTGATGATGATAATGATGATGATGATAAAGATGATGATGAGGATGATGTTGAACATGATAATGATGACGATGACGATGATGCTGATGATGCTGCTGATGATGATGAGGATGGCGATGGTGATGGTGATGGTGATGATGATGATGATGATGGTGGTGATGATGATGATTATGATGATGATGATGATGATGCTGCTGATGATGATGATGATGATGATGATGATGATGATGATGATCATGATGATGATGATGATGATGATGATGATGATGATGATGATGATGATGATGATGATGATGATGATGATGCTATGATGATGATGGCGATAATGATGGGGATGATGATGATGATGATGAGGAGGAGGAGGAGGAGGAGGAGGAGGAGGAGGAGCAGCAGCAGCAGCAGCGGCAGCAGCAGCAGCGGCAACGGCAACAGCAGCGGCAGCAGCAGCAGCAGCAGCGGCAGCAAGCAGCAGCGGCAGCAGCAGCAGCGGTAGCGTCGGCGGCGGCTGCAGCAGCAGCAGCGGCAGCAGCAGCAGCAGCAGGAGTGGAGTATCAGCGGGGTGCGTCACGCCGCAGGAAACACACGCCTACGCCCCCACCATGCCTTTCCAGGGTCATCCCAGGTCCTGGGATGGGGGATAGGCCCTCTTGGCCTCGTTGGCCAGGAGGACGCACACAGCATGCCAGCTCTCGGGAGGGCCCTGCCCAGGCATGGCGATGGTGGTGTGAGCGCCTGCTGCGTATACTGTCGAGGATCTGATTCAGGAACCTCCTCTCGGAAAGCTGGGCCGGCGCTTCAAGACGGAAAGCTGGCCCAGTTTTTGGAGCAAGATTGCCCCTCCAGCGTTCACAGCAGACATTTGCCCAGGTCTGCTTGAAGAAACTTCCGGGAAGCTGGCCCAGATTTCTTAGATGGTGGTTTTTGGGGGCGGCAAAGAGGGGGGTGATGACTAGGGTGGGGGTGGATATCATGGCGTGGGCAATGATATTTTTTCAGATTTTACGGCGTTTTTTCTTATTTCATTACGTCCCTGGCCCCCCCCCCCTCTTGGACGCCCCCCTCTTGGCCGACCCCGATCGTAGGTTCGGCCGTAGTTGTCTGCGCCCTTCCGCCCTCGGTTGACATCCTGTGGGACGAGAGTGCCTCCGCTTTGCCCAGGCATCGTTGACGGTACTTTCTCCTGCGAGGTAGGAGTCCTAGGCCAGACGCGGCCGCCCGAGACGGGCAGTTTGTCCTTCGCTGCGCGTAGTAACGAACACCGATACATGTTTGCTAGCGCGGACTCCAACTGGTGTATGTTTGAACGCGATGTGCGCTCTATGTGGTGCAGTATGTGGGGTGCTGTCTCTGCGGTGTATTCTGTGGAGAGCAGGCCATGTTGTTTAATCTACGAGGCGCAAGCTCTGTGGTGCAATCTGCGAGGTGGGATACAATCCATGCGGCGCAAGCTCTGTGGTGCAGTCTACGTGGTGCGGTTGATGTGCTGCAGAGACATAACATATGTTGTAGGACATGCGAGGTGAATGCTATGTGGTTCAGTATATGTGGTCGGAACACTTTGGAGCAAGCCATGTGTGAATGGCCGCAGAGACCTTGTTATCGTCTGCCTAGTCTCTTCTGTCCTTCTGTCTCTTCTGCCTTGTCCCCTCGCTCTCCTCTCTAACAATGCTTGCCAAACTTTGCTGTTTCCAACTTGTCGTGCACTCACTTTCCATGCTGTATTTTATCATGCGTCATGTCATACGTTGTCATTGCGAATCCTGGGACCCCAACCCTAGATATAAGCCAAACCATACATCTATGTCTAATCCTACATGGGTTGACCCTACTTGTGCCCCTGCCCCTTGCCTTTCTTACTCCCTCTCCATACCCCGTCATGGGAACCTGGTACTTCTCTGTTCCAATCCATGTTTCAGTGGTTTTCTCTTCCTGCTCCCACTCGCATTTGTGATGCTACTAGCTGTCGAGCCAGGTCCAATCATATCGCCCCATCTTGTTCCGTCTCAGACGTCCTCCGACACGTCCCTCCCCCCCCACGCCGCGGCCCCAGAGCTCCCGACTCTTTTTTGGGCGTCCTGACCCTTTTTGTTGAAGATCCGGGGACCCCCGAGAGTGGCCCCAGGGGCCGAAGCGAAAGGAACGGACGCCGCGGTGGAACAAACACCATGCCGTCGGAGGTCTGGAATCTCGCCCTAATCCGCTCCCTCCCTGGCCCGATCGCCGTTGCCTCCGCCCCTCTCCTCGGGCCTCCACAGAGGCCAGCCTGCGCGCCCTCTTCGAGCCCTTCGGCACCATCACCTCCGCCTCTACGCCGATCGACGACAAGGCCGCTGCGCCCGCGCTCGGGCCAGAGACCACGCTCCCTACAGAGCACCTTCGCTCGATCTGTCTGTGCGTATGCGGCCGAGTCGCTGAATTGAAGCACGTTTTCGGTTCGGAAGGGGCTCCAGAGAGTCGTCGGCGCGGCTTCAGACCTCCAGATTCTCGAGGAGGAGGGGGAGGGGCAGAAGAGGAAGAGGAGGAGGAGGAGGAGGAGGAGGAGGAGGAGGAGGAGGAGGAGGAGGAGGAGGAGGAGGAGGAGGGGCGGGAGGAGGACAAGTGTAAACCCAAGACTCGTCAACGATGTTGCAATAAACCCTCCCTCCAAGTTCCCTCTTCAAAGGTCCCTCTAAGGGTTCGTTTTCACTGAGGGAAGTGCCCCAATGGAAGACAACGGCCAGAATATCCTGAATCGTACCAGAACGCCGTTCCTGGAACGTCAACGCCGCGAATCGACGTTTTTGTTGCGTCCTGACGATCCTGGGTCGTGCCAGGGTACCATTCCTGGGACTTCAACACCGCGAATCAACGTAACTGTTGCGCCCTGACAGTCCTATAGTGCCACAACATCGTTTTTGGAACGTCAGCCATCATAATCCTTGACATTGCTGTAAGCTCTTGTCCGAAGATGCGAAGCGCTACGGCGAGAGCCATGAGGAGCCCCATAAAAGACACCTACCAGGACATCCATGAAGCAGACCTCTGCGATGACGTTCGGGAGAAGGCCTTCGCGAGCACCAGCACCAAGAGAAGCTCCACGAACACCCTCCTGGAGAAGGCTGCCGCGAGCAACTTCAGGAATAGTACCTCCACGAGCACCCACCGAAGAAGGCGTCTACGAACGCGGGAGTGAAGAAGACCTCCGCGAGCATCCTTTCAAAGAGGACCTCCACGAGCACGTCCATGAAGAAGGCCTCTGCGATCACCCTCCGGAGAAGGCCCTTGCGAGCATCAGCGCGAAGAGAACCTCCACACAAATCCTCTTAGAGAAGACCTCCGCGAACACTTTGATGTCGAAGACCTCCACGAACACCTTCCGAAGAGGCCCCTATGCGTACCAGCATCGCGAAACATAATAATCATGATACGAATGATAATGATAAGAATGGTAATACCAGTGATGAGAAGAGGGACATTAATAATAGTACGAAAAAAGGAACACCATGATAATAATAACATCACCTCCGCGAGCACCCTCGAGGAGAAGGCCTCCGCGATCGCCTTCAAAAAGGCAACCGCCGTGGAATCGCTGTACGATGACCCTGCCCACAAACACCTCCAGGGAACGCTCCGCGTGGAAGAGCACGTAGAGGAAGCAGGAGCACGGCGCCCCCGACACCATAATACCCAATCTACAGAATGGTAGTGCTGGCAGCCAGAAGAAAGCGCGAGACTGCGCGGCAAGGAACCACGAGGATTATCACGCAACGCTGCTGGACCGGCGTTGCACTTCGCGTCGCCGGCGGCGGCCAGGGGCCTGCCGTGCACCTCACTCCACTCGGCCCGACGGGGAGACGG